TCAGGCTGAGTAAGCAATTGAACTACTGGCTTCTAATATGATAGTGTATAACGGGTCCAAGCAGGGATTAAATCCTCCTTCAGCTAGGTACTGTACAAACAAATAACAGAAAGAGAATCCCTCTCCTGAGTTCACCACCTTGAGCAGTGCATTCCCAATAACAGTATCATTTACAGCTGAGACTTGGCCACGTTTTCTGGGCTAATAAGCAGGGAAGCAGAATTTTGCGAGAAATCTGGAAGCTGGCACTTCAGAGAAAAGTACTGGCAAGCAAAATGTAAAGGAACAGCTTAAAATTTAGAATCCAGCCATCACTTAAAAAGGACCAAAAATCATATTAGGTTATGGTATGACTGACTGATAGTCCGGGGAGAACAGGTACTGCAAAAAAGAGCATGGAGTGGCACACAGCATGGCATTTTAAGTAATTAAAAAAAAGATTGGAGAGACAGGGGGTTTATTTCAAAACAAAGACAGAACAATTATTTTTTTCTTCTGTCAAACTCTTAGATATTATTGCAGAAAGGTGTGACAAGAGAAAGAAAAATCCAAAAGTCTTTTTCAGGAGACACCTGCCTGTGCAGCGGGTGAGGAAGGAAGAAGCTCAGGAGCACCCAGCCCAGAGAGCATGGGGGGGGGCTTGCTTCTTGCTCACTCCTTGCTTGCTCCTTGCTCAGCCCTAGCTCACTCCTCACCCCGCTGACTCCTCAGGCACCGCAGGCCTGCCCCTTCTCCTAAGGTCGTGCCCCCATGCTGGCATGTCCCTCTGCCTGAACTAGAGCTGCTTGGGGCATCTCCCAGAGTAAAGTCACTGCAAGGATGGCCAGTACAACTCCACCTGTGTTGTAAGTGATGTCACGTCTTGAGTGAAAAGCCCCGGTGGTGGAATAAAACTAGAGAACGAAACTTCAAGTAAACGGCAATACATTGCTCTGTTTTCCTATCAGCCTGCTACTTCTGCCCAGATCTTGTGCTCCATCTACTTTTCTCTTTCTCATTTTAAAGATGCAACTGGACAGATCCCAAGGTCAATACTGCTGACCCCCAAATTAACTTTTTCTTTGGACCTGTGCAACTTACGTTGCTTGGATCTCCAGCACTCTCGCCACAGACTGCTAGGGCTGTCCTAGCCATTGAACACCCAGCTCCATGCTTCATATTCAGTACAGTATTCACTGCCAGATGGAGACAGAGATAGTTTGTCTTAGCATTACTGCAATGAAGTCATAAAGCAGATTCCAGTATAGGAAAGCTGGTGTACTGGCATTTAAGTGCAATCAGAAAGACATGAGGGATCTCTCTCTTAATCGGTAAAAAATATACTCAATGCCCCATGAAATCAAGGCATTTGAGGTGCATCTTTATCATAAACAGTAGATTTGCTCATTCCCTTAGTCCTATGTCAAATTCACTGTTCCAGCTGTCACCATTTAATATTTTTAGAAAATATTTTATGGAATACAAGCACACAAATACAGTCAGACAGAGCGTTACCCTCTAGCACCACAAAACCCTTCAGCTAACATAAAGCCACAGAGGTCCATCGAGCAGAGGATCTGCCTTGTAGCTTGGACTTTCAGGCTGTGTCTGCAGGGAGATGATGTGGGGATGATTATGTCACAGAAGTACCGTGTGAAAAACATAAAGTGTCACAAGTAGTCTGGAGAGTGATTTTTACACTTATCAGCTTAATGACAAGCAAAGGCCATTAGATGCACTCTAAAAATTCCTCCCTGCTATTTGCGGGTCCCCGCAGCGTGCCATAGACACACACCGAAGACACGCCGCGTCGTGAAATCCTGCCGTTCTCGGAAGGTGGAATCAATTAGCATGTAAGATGTGTACTTAGGGAGAAAAAGCCTCGCTGCAAACACCCGACAAGAGAGGTATCAGCTGGGCTGTTTGCTCACATGGAGCCTGTTAGTTACACAAACACAGGGAAAGAAGATAGTATTACAGGTGAAATCCTGCAGTTCTCCTAATGAAAGTGAATTTGTTTCCCTTCCTGTTTTTCCTACTTACCCCTACTATTTGACCGTTGTTAGACTGTGGCATGTACACTGGTTGAATGCCAGTTTTCCCCCTCCCATTCGGCATTTTCTATCTCTCTCACTGATTTTTTTGCAAAAAAAGAAGTTGCAAAAGAAATATTTTGACTTTTCTCGGGAGCAACACCCAAGGAAGCTGTCTTTGATGCAGATGAGGGCTATTTCGAGAAACAGCTGGGGAAAAGAAACCTTGAGAAATCAGATCAAAAATGGCAATTTGGGAAAAAAAGCATGCTTTTTCAATTTGCATTTTCCAATGATCTTTGACCTTCCCATTTACATTTATCTTCTTGAGTTTAAGAAGGAAGCAGTGTTACCAATACTGAAAAACTAAAGCCCCGAGAATATTAACCTCGGGGGAGGGAAGACTTGCTTTACTCAGAAATAGCATAACCTGTACAATGAACATTCATCTTAATGCAAAGCCGAGGAATGAAATTCTCTTCTCTACCAGAGGATCTTGTGATGAACAAATATTAATTCCCGCTGGCTGATATGGTGACACCCCTAAGCACTACTCAATCCATGTGAGTAGTGAGACACGAAGTCAGCGTTAAATTCCTTTTCTTATTCGGAAGGATGGAGTCCACGGGCAAGGAGAGATAATCTTGGTCTTGATGGGGAACAGTGGTTTTCCACTTCTTCAGACTGCTGTCTTACTTCCTAAAACTGGGGAGCTGACAGTCAGTACGCTGGGCACAATCTCTGCCCTGGCTTCCTGCTGTCAAGTGACACAGGTGCTGAGTGGAGGTGGCGTATGGCAAGAGTTGAAGCAGAGGTAGTTCAGTGAGGAAAGACTCTTCTGAGACCTTGGCAATAAATCCTAGATCAAATTGTCAGATCATGGCTACTTTTCAAAAGATTTATAATTTGAAAAAAATGTGCAGATTTTTTCAGGACCAATACACATCTTAAATTTAATTCTTTAAGTTAGGAGCGATAGTTTTCCAAACAAAACCCACCATTTTAAGATTGGAAAGCAGAATATTCTTATTTCTTAGCCTTGAAAACAACTAAACTGTTTCTAGCCATGCCATTTTTTTAAAAGTACCCTGAAGCGGACAACCAGCATGAGCAATATCAATTCAAAGAGCTGACATCTGCAACAAGAAATAGCAAATAACTTTAATAATAGAGCGATAGTTTTCCAAACAAAACCCACCATTTTAAGATTGGAAAGCAGAATATTCTTATTTCTTAGCCTTGAAAACAACTAAACTGTTTCTAGCCATGCCATTTTTTTAAAAGTACCCTGAAGCGGACAACCAGCATGAGCAATATCAATTCAAAGAGCTGACATCTGCAACAAGAAATAGCAAGTAACTTTAATAATAGCTAGTAGTACCAAAACTGCATTGCTCTAACTTGTACAAGTCTGGGAGCAGGTATGGTGGAGAATACTGAAATGCTTCTCTCACCGCAGAAATACAAAGACTAGTAGTTTGCTTGCATTGTTTTTCTGTAAAATCGTACAAAGCCTGCCATAATTTGAAAACTCCACAGGATTTTTTTCTCTGAGTTGTCAGCATAAGTGACATTGACCTTAATATCACCGCATTTAAGCTTCAATCTTTCAGGTAGCAAGGGGGAAGAGCAGAGTCTCTTGAACAGAAACCAAGAATTGAAAATTCCAATGCAAAAGATGAATACATTGAAGAATACATTAAACAGGGAATTTATAACATAAGCTCTTTTTATCCCTCCAGCTCTGTAACACACAGATATGCTGAGACTTGGGCGAAATCAAACTGAAGATGGGGGGCGTAAGATCCACTCTCCTTTACGCAGGGTAAATGCACAAAATATTTAGGCTCTTGAAGGAACAGGATGGGTTAAAAATAGAAACCATCTCTTAAAATACGAGTTACCTGCAAGGACTGGGATTGAGCTGCACGGTTACAGGGTCTGTCTTAGAGCTGAAAATTGAGCAGGAAAATGCTGAGATTTTTTTTGTTCTGTTTTGTTTTGTTTGGGGCAGTGGGGATGGGCTGCTTATGTCTAAATGGGTGTCTAAAAAAAGTGATAGAAAGGAGGGACCAACCAAAACCACCACAACACAGACCAACAGTTTGGGTCAGAAGAGGTATCATTAATTGTACATATTGTTTTTCCCTGAAACGAGGAACATCCTCTGCCAATCTGAAAACTCCTGTTGCTCCGCAGGGTACGGACTCCAAAGAAGGAACTGCCTGCAAGCAACCAAAGTGCAAGTCTCTGCAGCAAAAAAAAATTCAACTAATTACTCTACTGTAAGCATATTTGCTTTTATTGACAGATCATAGGTTTTGAAAAGTTTGGAAGAAAGACTTTCCCTTCCTCCCAGAGCTTTGAAGCTGTATTGTCCACTTGATGAAAATATGAGCCGCGTTCTTTGTATGACAATGCAGGATGAAAAAAAAAGGAAATGAAAAAAATAATATCAACTCAGCACCATCATTTCAGAACATTTTGGCATATTTTATTGTTTCCTTTTAACCACCACCCCCCCTTATCTCATGTACGGGCCCATCTACAGTAATGTTTTAAATGAAAAGCTTTTTAGTGAGCCAACTGCACCTTTCTCTAGGGAGTTCCCACTGAAATTCCTGATAACACCAAACAATGGAACTTTTTTCAAAGAGTTACAAAGCGTAATGAAAATGACATAAATTATCATTGAGAAATTTCATCCCTTTGAATACATTTTTCCTTCATTATTCATAGCATTTTTTCTAGAAAAACAAGCCATGATAGACCTTTCCGCAGAGTAACTTAATTAAGCCAACATATTAGCAGTAGAAGTGGGCTCCCTCAATTACTACCATTCTGTATTTCTATTTTAAATTGCTTTTTATAAAACAAGCAGTTAGGGAGCTGAGTGACTCAGGAGCCAAAGCTTTCCAAGTCTTTACGGCAACCAATTAAAACTGTAGCAGAGAGGACACAGGTTAAGTTGGGGCAGGCTTGACTCACCTGTCCATAAATTGCATTTAGTACCTCTGCAGATGCCCTGGGGTATCCCACTAGTCTCCTCCAGGAAGAGGTAAGTCTTCTGAAGATCATCTGTCATAGCTGTCCACCCATGGGGATGCCCTGGGTATCCCAGGGCATTTCAAATGGCACCTTATACCTGAGCATAGGAAACTCAGTCAAGCCCTTAGTGTCCGATTTAAGAGCACTATATTATGCAGACAAAGCCATTGAGAAGGAATATGTTTTAATCTGGAGCCTAATTTTTAAGACCTGAAAAATGTTAGACTTTATCATTATGAATACAGAAGATTAAACTGATGTGGAAACTGGTGCCAAAGTACGATTGTAATATTCCTCCTATATGTAAGTGTGGATTTATGGATACTTGGAAATGTATGTCAATAACAAATTGACCTCCAAAATATAAATCCTGAGCCCCATCCATGCAGGTAAATCAATGAGGTGTGGAACAAACTCGTACTAACTTTCTTCATTTAGGTAGATAGGAGATGGAGGGGTGTAGTTGCTCTAACCCATTCCTAGCCTTCCCTCAGAGCCACGCCGTGTGTCAGGGAGGTGACTGGAAGCCCAGGGGAGACAAAGAGGAGACCTACCGAGATCAAAGGACTCTGTGTGGCACAACCTCACCTGGTGGAAAAGATGGAGTCATTGCCACGTTTTAGCTTCTTCATTGCCTAATTTAGGTGCCTAACTTACCTGCACGGTGGTAAAATCAAGTCCTCCAAATGTGGATAGTTACTTCACTGAAATTGTACATATAAAGAAGGAGGGGGTGACTTAGTCCTCTGAAAGTAAGCTCTTAAATTCACTATAAAGGCTGTGGCAGGAGGAGGGTGTCTCTGACAACCCCCAGAAGCAGATTCTGTCCAGTGAACTGGACCTCTCACCTGCACGGGGAGAGCACGCCAGCCCAAAGGGTGATCTGCTCAGGCCAGGTTTGGTGTCCATCCCTCTGCTGGGGTGCCCCCAAGAGGGGAAGCACGAGCCGGGGGATACCTCTGCCCGGAGGAAGAGGACCCGGCCTTGAAGGGCCACTGCGAGCTGCGCTCACCCTGGCTGCTCAGCAGGCGGATGGATGGCTGCACATCCGTCGGATGCAGGCAGAGGGGCTCCTTCAGACTGGGGCAGACATGGACCCTATTTTGGGGGGGTTCCCTAGCAATTTGATTATTGCAGGAAGGGGGACAGGCCTAAAAGTGTGGGTATGGGTTGCTAACACTATGCTTATAATTTCTGGCTTCAGTAGAGAGATTACCCAGTCCAAGAAAGTAGGATCAGTGTGGGATTTAGGCAGACCAAATCCTATCCCAGGTTTTATGCTATTTTGATTTCTTTAGTCTCCTGCCAGGCCAATACACAGATCTGCAGGAATCCCTCTTCTTCCAGCTTCACACACGCTCACAAATGCCAAAATTAACAAATCAAGATTGCATTTAATTCCAGATGAGCACATCTGAATTGCTCCATCTTATGATAATATTTTGCATCTTATTCAGAAGAAATCCTTGCATACTTAAACAACGAAGCAAAACATTTCAAAATCAATTTCTAGCTCACATCTCTGTTCCTGAATCCAAGGCTATGCATGAGTCCTGCCCCTCTCTCCCCAGTCAGTGTCGTCTGGAGCAAGGGGGAATTAAGGAATTGGGCTCCAACAGTGTCAGGCAATGGAAGAAAGTGACTGCAGGTCACTTGTGGGTGAGACGTGGGCATCACAGCGCTGCCAGGACTGGGACCCTTCCATCCACTTCCAGCTGTGGGCACTGGTGGAAGTGTGGCGGTGAAAGCTGGGGTGCTGGGGGGAGCTGAGCACCACACTCCTGGGCATTAGGGCTGGCAATCCCATTAAGTCGTAGGGCCCCCTGTCATTTATGGACTGCACTCCCGGGGTCTCGGCCACAGCTGCACAGGAAGACTGCAGCAGAGAAGGTTATTGCACACACGGAGCCTGTGCTCAAGGATAATTTCCTAACCGTCGCACCCTCCTTTATTGTTTTTAGTGCTTCTTCACCATGCAGATCTTCTATTTTTCAAAGGCAGGTGCAGGATGGCAGGATCTCCCTAAGGGTAACACGGGACGGCTCTTGTCGAAGCTCAGACCTGACCTGCACCAGCTCTAAGTCATTTCAGATGGATCTGAGAGGAAGACTTGGCAGTAATTCAAGAGGTTTGAGTTCCCGGTTGTGGAGTCCACTGAGTCTGTAAAAACCACCCTTAAACATTTTGTTTAAATGCCCCCCGCCCATCCCAGCCTTCCTTCACCAACGATTGTAAAGGAATAGCAAAGCTGGAACTGCGGAGTTTCTTAAAAATAGTTCCCTTGTATAGGGGACTATGAGAAATACTAGGCAAATCACCAAGCGATGAAGACCTAAATCCCTAAGAGCTTATACATATGCATTAAAAGGAGCGGTTTGAATGTCAAAATAAATAAATATAAAGCTGATTTTACACTACAGGATTATGCTTGGGAGGGAAGGTTTTCCTCCTGTCTTACACAACCAAACTTCAAAAGAAAACTCCCTGTGAAACGCTCCTGGGTTTCTGCAGTCATGCGGATGACTGGGTTGGGCAGGACAAAGCTTTTTTCTGTTCGAGGGAAAAGCTCCATTTGGAAGGTTTGGAAGCAATTTCTGCTCTCAGTTTGCAAAGTGCAAATCAGGACAGTTTGTAACAACACAGAGCTATTGAGATGCAGGGAACTATTTACATAAGTAAGGTAAGCAGGATTTGACCCAGCCCCCGTGAGCCCTGCAGATAGCATTGTCCTGTCAATTTTCACTCCCTACAGCAATGAAGCCAGATAAATGGCTTCCTGCCATATGGCATCACCTTTTTACAAGAGATCATGTGGACATTGCCACTGGCCTCTAGGTGCTTTGGAGGGAAGATCCCACTTTGCTTCACAACGTAGGTTCCAAAATGTTTTCCAAAGCTGCCATGTACTATGAGTTCTCTGCTGAAATATATAAAGATGTCCTGGTAAGGGTACCAGGAAAAAGAAGACTCGTGTGTGCTAGCTGTGAGGTTCAGTATCTTCAGCCCTCACCACTTGGCAGGACAGAGCTCTGCATGTGATCTGTGTGATCGCTCAGGGTCATTATTGCCTCTTTTCGCTGGGCAAGGTTCTGTACATAGTATTTTGAGCCATGTGCGATTACTTCAGTGAAAGCAGATACCAGCCCGAGTTTTGAACAGCACGTTTCATCGTAGGGCTTAGACCATCAAATGAACAAAGTTTAATAGCAGAGTTTAGCCTGTTAGTCAGAGAAGATCTTCCTCGGTATTTCCCAGGCTGTACTTTATCCCATAGATGCTTCCTCTCGTCCTCTACTGCCCCTCAACTATAGACTAGCTAGCCGTGATGTGTTTCATGATCACATTATACCAAAGAAGGTCAGAGAAAATAAATGGTATTATTCAAACTTGACTCAAGAAAAGAGCAAATCTCTAAGGAAAGCACTCCTCCCCTTTTATTCATGAAATAAAACTCCAGAGTCTCACCCCTCAGGGAGGGATCGCTTTATATTCTCACTGTATGTAAAATTTACCCTGCCAAGAAGCAGCTGATAAACTCAAATCTCTCGTCACAGCGTGAGCTTCTTAATGTCTCTGCCTCATTTGTTCATCAGCACTTTATGAGAAAATAAACAAAAACACTGCCTGTTTGCCCATTGTCATCAAGGGCATCTGAACGCTTCCTGCCGGGAGAGGTGGGTGTACCGGCCTTGGAGCAGAGGCGATCGCATCTTTCTTCTGCCTCTGCATTTACAATGGCCAATCTACAAAGCCAGAATCCCAGGGAGCTTAATCAAAAGCCAGAAGACACCCCAGGGTACATGTTATTGTCCAATAAGAGTAAGCAGTGCACACTGTTAGCACCAGCATCAGGCTAGCGTCAGCGTTTCTGCATACTTGGGCATCTCTTGGAGGAATCCTGCTGCTCTTATGGGGCAGGAATTGTTACAGATGTAAAAAGCAAGCTATCACAATCATACAATGATTTTTAACAAGGCAAAAATTAAAAATAGATCCTCAGTGCTCCCCTCTGGTAACAGTTTTCTCTCTCACATCAGTTTGGAAAGAACATTTATGCTTTTTTCAGTTCAGACTATCAGTTGCTACAGCAAACCAGTGCAACACTGCCCCAAAATATCCCCGTCATGGAAGAGGAGGAGGATCACAGTGATGTTTAGATTAAAACCCACAGGTTTCATCGCAAGCACACTAACCAACATTTTAATGTATTTTTAAAGCACAGTTCTGCGAGAGGCTCAATGCAGCTCCTACCATGCATCCCTCAAACGAGACAGCAGTGTGTGTGCAATTTCTATATGATTAGTGCAGTGGAATCTTCTCCAAGCACCTTCTTTTCTTCTTTCCTGCTTTTTTGCGGTCTCTGGCATATTTTTCGCCATTTTTCGCCCTCAAATCCATGTTTTTTGGTCCATTCTAACAGTATTTTTCTTCCTTGTTTTTAGCTTCTTAACTGGGTAGATGTGGATTATTTGACCCGAATTCTGAGCCCATGTGTGCACGTGTCTGAGAAGCGAGGGGCAGCAGACATGCAGCCAGGAGGCACGTTTTTCATGCATGCTTTGCTCATCCAGCGTCTCTCTGAAGAGATGGAGGGAACTGGTTTGTATGAAAGATGGCGAATAGCACTCATCTGCCTCCATCCTTCCTGTAAGGGGCACCACGGAAAAGGTGCTGGGGAGGGGATTCACAGTCCCCAGGGGTGCTCCTGTGCCCAGAGACAGAGACAAAACAAGGACCTGTTTCCACCCCTGCTCACTGTACCCTAAAAGTGAGAGAGAGAATGTACATGTGTGACTATAAGTGCTATAATCAGGGGGAATACTCTGCTAAGTCCTATTTATACCATTCTTAGACAAAGGGAGACCTGAAGATCTCTGCATCTTCCCTTTGCATCAATTAACTGGTTAACAAGGGGAAGAGGGGACGAAGCAGAAGTGTTCTGGGCAGACCTATAGCAATGTCGTGGTTTACAACAGCCAAATGCTGAGATGTGCATTCAGTAAATGCGTTGTCCCATCACGCTGACACCTCAGTGCT